TTTCTTGAGTTAAACCTGGTTTCTTAAATTAAACCTGGTTTCTTAACCCAAACCTGATTTCTTAACCCAAACCTGGTTTTTGAAACTAAATCTGGTTTCTTAAACTAAACCTGGTTTCTCAAACTAAATCTGGTTGCTTAAATTAAACCTGGTCTCTTAAACTAAACCTGCTTTCTTCAATTAAACCTGGTTTCTTGAATTAAACCTGGTTTCTTAACCCAAACCTGATTTTTCAAACTAAACCTGGTTCCTTAACCAAAACTTGGTTTCTCAAACTGAACGTGGATTCTTAACCCAGATCTGGTTTCTGAAACTGAACCTGGTTTCTCAAACTGAGCCTGTTCTTTTAAACTAAACCTGGTTTCTCAAACCAAATCTGGTTTCTTAAACTGAACCTGTTTCTTAAACCAAACCTGGTTTCTTTAAACCTCATTTCTTGAATTAAACCTGGTTTCTTGAATTAAACCTGCTTTCTTCAATTAAACCTGGTTTCTTAAGTTAAATCTGGTTTCTTAACCCAAACCTAGGTTCTCAAACTGTACCTGGTTTTTTAAACTGAACCTGGTTTCTTGAATTAAACCTGGTTTCTTAAATTAAACTTGGTTTCTTAACCCAAACCTGGTTTCTTAAACTGAACCTGTTTTTTAAATCAAATGTGGTTTCTTTAAACCAGCTTTCTTGAATTAACCTGGTTTCTTAAATTAAACCTGCTTTCTTAAATTTAACTTGGTTTCTTAACCCAAATCTGGTTTCTTAAATTAAATCTGGTTTCTTAACCCAAACCTGGTTTTTGAAACTAAATCTGGTTTCTTAAACTAAACCTGTTTTCTTGAATTAAACCTGATTTTTCAAAGTAAACCTGGTTCCTTAATCAGAACCTGGTTTCTCAAACTGAAGGTGGTTTCTTAACCAAATCCTGGTTTCTTATTTAAAACCTGGTTTCTTAAACTTGGTTTCTCAAACTAAACCTGTTTACTTAAACTAAACCTGGTTTCTTAAATTAAACCTGGTTCCTTAACCCAAACCTGGTTTCTCAAACTAAACTTGATTTCTGAACCCAAACCTGGTTTCTTAACCCAAACCTGATTTTTCAAACTAAACCTGGTTTCTTAACCCAAACCTGATTTTTCAAACTAAACCTGGTTCCTTAACCAAAACTTGGTTTCTCAAACTGTAGGTGGTTTCTTAACCAAATCCTGGTTTCTGAACCCAAACCTGGTTTCTCACACTGAACCTGTTTCTTTAAACTAAACCTGGTTTCTCAAACCAAACCTGATTTCTTAACCCAAACCTGATATTTCAAACTAAACCTGGTTCCTTAACCAGAACTTGGTTTCTCAAACTGAACGTGGTTTCTTAAATTAAACCTGTTTTTTTAAACTAAACCTGCTTTCTTGAATTAAACCTGGTTTCTTCAATTAAACCTGGTTTTTTAAACTGAACCTGGTTTTTTAGACTGAACCTGGTTTCTCAAGCTAAACTTGGTTTCTTAAACTGAACCTGGTTTCTTGAATTAAACCTGGTTTCTTAACCCAGACCTGGTTTCTTAAACTAAACCTGGTTTCTTAAACTAAACCTGTTTTTTAAACCAAACCTGGTTTTTTTAAATCTGATTTCTTGAGCTAAACCTGATTTCTTGAATTAAACCTGATTTCTTCAATTAAACCTGCTTTCTTCAATTAAACCTGGTTTCTTAACCCAAACCTGGTTTCTTAAATTAAATCTGGTTTCTTAAATTAAACCTGGTTTCCTAACCCACACCAGGTTTTTGAAACTAAACCTGGTTTCTCAAACCAAACCTGGTTTTTCAAACTAAACCTGGTTTCTTCAATTAAACCTGATTTCTTAATTTAAACCTGGTTTCTTAACCCAAACCTGGTTTCTTAAACTAAACTTGATTTCTTAACCCAAACCTGGTTTCTTAACCCAAACCTGGTTTCTTAAACTAAACTTGATTTCTTAACCCAAACCTGGTTTCTCACACTGAACCTGTTTCTTTAAACTAAACCTGGTTTCTCAAACCAAACCTGGTTTCTCAAACTAAACTTGATTTCTCAAACCAAACCTGGTTTCTTAACCCAAACCTGATATTTCAAACTAAACCTGGTTCCTTAACCAGAACTTGGTTTCTCAAACTGTAGGTGGTTTCTTAAATTAAACCTGTTTTTTTAAACTAAACCTGCTTTCTTGAATTAAACCTGGTTTCTTCAATTAAACCTGGTTTTTTAGACTGAACCTGGTTTCTCAAGCTAAACTTGGTTTCTTAAACTGAACCTGGTTTCTTGAATTAAACCTGGTTTCTTAACCCAAACCTGGTTTCTTAAACTGAACCTGTTTCTTAAACCAAACCTGGTTTCTTTAAACCTCATTTCTTGAATTAAACCTGGTTTCTTCAATTAAACCTGGTTTCTCAAACCAAACCTGGCTTCTCAAACTAAACCTGGTATTTTAAACTGAACCTTATTTTCCTGCACTAATCCTGGTTTCTCCGTGTGACCCC